GTTCCACATATAGTGGTTCGGTTTGACCGGCTGACGGCTGCTAATAGGCCAGAACTGGCGATTTTTTTCTCCCTTGTATTTGTCTGCAATGCCATTCTGCCTATATCATTCGCCGCTGTGAGGCTGCTGGTTGGGCTTGAGAGAGAGCCCTAAGGTACAACGGGACGGGTGAGTTCCATATTACGATCCGTGAGCACCCCTCTACCATTACGTATATTTTGACAGAAAAACACCAAGCTTTCTGCTTTTGTTGTGCTACTTGAATGTTATCGGTAACTAGTCCGTACGCTATGATCGTGTCTCACTGAGAGCTTGGGTGTACTCCCAAATACTAATGTTCTCGGTGGGAACTAGCGGGAAGTGAATATCTGCCAGTAGTCGCAGCTTGTTGCCAGGTTGACGGGCGGCAGGAGAAACACCGGCCCGTTTGTCGAAAGCCGTCCGATATGCTGACAGGCATTGCGGACCCACGGTTGACGAATGTATATAAGATTCTCTCAATCGTTCTGTTCGGTCGCTCGCCAAATCCATTGCCTTCTGGGTGGTAGATGATGATTCTTGTCTTATCTAGAGCAGAGAGCACTGGCCGGCCAGGAGTTGGGCCTCGAACGCCGTGCCCTTGTCAGAGAGTATTATCGTGAGTGCCCCATAACGGCCAGTTTAATCGTTGATGATGTCCGTTGCTACTGACTTGCGTCTTGATTTTGTAATGGTATTTCCTCACTCCACTTAGTAACTCAGTTGAAAATAGCTAGTATGAACCGGTTCCCACGACGAGCCGTCGGCAGCGGTCCCATCATGCCTATACCGATCCTGTGACTGGTTTCGTCCTCGCCTGCTTTTATTACATATTTCTAGGAGTTGTTCCCCGCTTGGTTTGGACCGTAAAACTTGCATATGTTCTGACAAAAAAACACCAAGTTTTGCAATAATGATCATTGAAACACTTGCAAAAGTAGATTCGGTGCCGTGTCATATTTATGTGAAAATCCGGTATACACTCCGATTTCTGTGTCAGTTCAGGTCAGGACTATGAAGGCTTGATGAAGATTTGAATCTAGCTTTGCGGATTTAGCTTTATGTGTTTACATTCTCCAGCTTTGGTCTAGGCCGCCGTGTCCTTCCACCAACGTATTACTGTTGACGCGAATTCTATGTGTGCTTTTTCGGTGGTTCATGCGCACCTCCACTATATAGACTATCCTGCTCTCCGCCGAACACTGACTGTTTCTCCGCTCGCATTAGCTAATGCAGGCATTTTAACAGGTCTGAGTCGAAACACTCAAACTGATTTAAAAGAACCATCATCTCCACCACCTTTATCAGTCGCTCATGGATTGTGGATGCTCCTGGTAAATGTTTCTGTCCTGAAGCTCACGGCGCAATTGATACGTTTCGATATATGAGGACGTCTTTCTTGAGTGATCGTGAAGTACTTACATCCATGCTATGTAAATGAGTGCGCAGCAGAAATTTAGATACAGAAAGTTTGTGAATGAGATGTATAATAAGACAAAACGCGAAAACCGCCACCAAAGAAACAGGATGAAGAAACAAACCTAGTTGTTCACGAAACGGGAGAAACATGACAAAAATAATGGGAATCGAATCCGCGTACAAGGGCTTGAACAATCAAAAGTCTCCCTTATATCCGCCATGTTTTCATTGAAGTGTTTTACATTTTTTGATAATTCAAAGCTTAATGAATTATTTAAAGCCACCTTGGAGTTATTATTTGCCGTGGTGAGCTGTCATTTGACTGGCTGGGACCATTTAAACTTGAAATCACGAACGTTTAAATGTGCCGTTTCTCGACCCTGAAATTTCACACCGATGTCGAAAGCGGGCAAGAACGATGGCAGGGTTTATCGCGAAAAAACCTGCCCCCTGTTGCTAAGAGTTTTTTGTGGAAACTTTGGACATAACAGCATTTCTGATTACTATCGGGGATCGACCCCTGTTAACGAGCTTCAGGTCTATACATGGTAATTTCTGACTTTTATGTCACTCCTGAAATAGGCTAGACGCCACCTTAAGGGAACTGGCATCGCTAGTAAAGCAGGTGAACGTGGAGGCCAGAAGACGAGGAACAGTATTTGACTTTGCAATTGTTTCACCTGATCTGCGTTCCCCTGCTTACCGCATGCGTGACATAGGCAGCGTCCGCTCTGGCTTCGTCTCGGACGCAGACAAAATAATGTTAAAAGTGAGTATCGGATGTGGACTCTTCGTTTTCCTCCTAGAGTGCTTTTGTCTCCATTTCCTTCGTGGCTGTTGACACTACGCGTCTGTGTATTCTTGATTTGCTTTTGCCTTTATCCCTTATACCAATTAGGACTCGAATCCTCAAAATCCACATGAATTTTGAGGACTTCCCTCGCAACTCGCGGACAGAACAAAAGCGGTCGAATGGGTTGTTTTGGTTGTCGAACTTCCTATGTTATTCTTTGGAAATTATACCAGACTTGGGGTTAATCTCGTCGGGGCAGTAGAATTAGGAGAACGCTATTGAGAATAACGGACATATTCCGGCGGGGTTAGACGCACATGTCTCTCCTTACCATTTCACGGGAAGCGTCAAAAGAAGCAACTGTAATGCTTTTTCTTAACCTCTAACCCAAATAGGGTTGTGTCTATGACGTTTATGTCTGAGTCTATTTACACCTAAGTCGACTTCAGCTTTTTTGACAATGCTGTTCTAAAAGGTTGACCAATTTAGTGTAGCGAGCTTAGGGTATGATCACTAACAAAAAACTGCTTGAGGCAGGCTAGTTAAAAGCCGCTTAGCCTTCAGTAGTCGGTAAGACGTCCGAAATCGACGTTATGAGTAGCGGTTTTTCGTACGGCCACTGCCGAGAGATCTAATTGCCAAATTAAACGAAACAGCTGGAAGAGCGCAGTTTGGGCCATCAACTGGGCCGGACATAGGTTTCGTGGCCGTTTGTGCTCTCAAACGCATACTCTTCCCAGGATGACAATTACTTTTACTGAACGCTATGTCATCGTCGTGAGCTCTTAGCCGATTGAGCTTGCATTCAGGGCAGGTGACGGGCTTTTGCTCTTCCGGTCTCAATGTAATGTAGAGTGCGGGCTTCCAACAGCGCTAACAGGTCCAATTTTTGAAAACCTTTATCAGCTAAATGACATTGCATGTCTTCAACTTGACCCAGTGTATGTTTGCATGTTCTTGAAATCTCGCCTGCCACGGTCGACGTATAAGACTGACTACCATTAGCTTAAGCCCTTCAGAACTTTTTCAGACTTTCCTGTTTGGTGTTTGAGCTCCAAAATCTAACCGATACTTCTGTAGCGTGCTCCAATGTGATCCCTTGCCAGTAGAACTTATCTAACCGTTTTCACTTCCACCTGGCAGGACTGCTCCTTCCGAATAGGCGACATGATCGACGTAGCCATTTATCTACCAGACGGACCAGTTAGAACGGCCGCAACCGGAGCCGGTTTCCCTCTCCAACGTGGACACCGGGACTTTAATGACCCCTTACATGGTACAGTTGGGGGTCCAGATGGTTTTCCTCCTACCAATAATCAGTTTGCCGCTAACTCCACAGCTGCAATGGTCACTATGATGACGGCTGCTGCTGCAGCTCAGGCCAACAACTTTACAAACATTCGCGACTCTGCCGGCGACCGTCGGCCACGTCGCCGGGATCACGATCAAAAACGGCCCTACAGCAGACAAGAGTCATCTCGTCACGCAGCTCAGTATTGAAGTGTTTATCATCCGTCTTATGTAAATATTAAGCGTGTGTTATTACTCGATGTTTTTTTTGGAACGGGGAGTGTATAAAAACGTTCATGCTGGTTTGAATTTGGTGGAGTCATTTCTCGCTATGTGGGAGGTAGTCAGTGTTTGCGTTCCGTGCAGACTTCCTGCGATCTTTGTAAAACCTGTGTTTAGACTAGATTAGACATCGAACGCGAAATTGTACTACCCAGATCCATTCTGTATGATCCACTCACATATATTCTGGGCCTTTCGACGCCAAAATTTTCCCGTGCCCTACGCCGGGGAAATATATTCACGGCGTTGTCCAAAGTATAGGCGTCAAAAATTTCTCAAAGATTGTTTAACAGATCGTTCCCTTTGCAGTTGAAAATTTTATCCTCCTGTTCGGATGGCCTTCCACTCAACCGCGGTGGATTTGCCTCATTTGCGGTTGTTTGCGAGCTTGACATCATTTTCGAGCTCCCGTACTGCAGGCTCGCCATATTTGGGACCTAGGAATTAACCGCGGCTTTTTCCTGTTTGATTTATTTGTTGGAGTTTTTCCTTATTGACTTTCTGAACCCTAATTTATGAAATGCCACAGCTGGGGCTATATGGTGCTGGCAGCGTATCCTGTGTTCTGTCCTCTTTTTGCTAGTGAGCTGGTAACCCCATCGTTAGAAAAGGTATACATGTATGCATTTACCAATTTTATTGAAAGCTTTCACTGTTCACACTGTAGGTTACCTGCGGCAGTTTTGCCTCCCTCCTGGATAGGCAGGATTTCCATCGGCAGCGCAACTATTCTAGAGTGAATGAAGTCGAGTGCTGCAGCCAGGAACGGAGAGCAAAACTCCCAATAGCTTAAGCAGTTGACCAGTGTGACCAGCTTGCCAATTCGGAATTTGGACACCGGGAGCTGGAAGGAAGGTGGGGAATGTACACTGAAGTCACGATGGGAAGTCGAGTCTTCTCAGCTTCGACCTCTGGAACCACAGCACCACCACCGCTGTAGAATTTTGTCTTAAGCTGTGTAAAATGTGTCTCGGAATGAAAGTCTAGGGGTACACTAGATGACAAGGGGCTGAATGAATATAGTTCCTTTTTTTCATCGGTGGTACTCTGCCCCATGTAAATCAGGCCACTGGCTACTGCATGACTCCAATGCTGCCTGCCTGATGCCCATCTATTCCGATGTGAGTTTTTCACCTTATTTTGTGATGATTTTCGTGCATCCACTGTCAAGGTTCTGCTAGCGTGACATTTATTCCAGGGAATTCATATGTGGAGGCTGATAAAGCGCGCATAAGGTGTGTCCCACTTCCAGTCGGCCGTAATTCCTCCGACGCCAGAATCGGTCGAAGTTTGCGCACACCAAACGGTTTGTTATTTTCATGTACGCCTCACCACTCGCAGCAGTTTGTGGTGAGATAAACGAACCACCTTTGTAGTGGTGCCCTGTGGAGTCAGTTCTTTTTACACAGATCAAAACTTTTGATGTACACCGTGCAGTCTGAACTGGCGGGGACGTAGAATTTAGCGACAGTGGGAGCATTCGGTGTGAAATTCGATCACAAGTACTATGCACTGTCTAGAGATTGCCAAGCTACATTGTGGGTTAATAATTAAACAGTGAGACAAAATTAGGCAACCAGAGGAGGTAAAACTGTTGGTACAACTCACATGTGCAAGATTTTCCAGTCTTTTCAGCACCGGTGAAATCTCAATGTCATTTCGAAATTCTTGGATGTCTTCGATGAGCTCGTGGTACCTAAATGTCAGTCTGTTAGGTATTTTATACAGAAGAGCTCTGTGTGTTTAAAGAGCACGCTTGAAGGATATTCAGGACTATCGGTGGGTAGGACTTCTGCCCATAACTACATAAAAGTCGATCCACAGATCGAAGGGAACTATTTTGGGCAATGGAATTTGCACAAATAGAAGACCGAACCGCCATAATGTTAGTGCAAATACTGACTGCAAGTCCAGACACGTGTCCGGTCGACATTTTGTGGCGGACTGACGTAACTGTGGAGTGTCCGACTCGCTATCAGGCTCCCGACATATTTCCATTAACCAACTGGTGAAATATAGCCACGAGAAATCGGCAAGAGTCTGGACTCGGAGTTAACAAACATTAGGAAAACGGTAAAACGCCGTTTGTATCAAAAACAGAATACCTTTTTGCTAATAGAAACGAAGAGGCGAGTTCCAGGAAGAAGTCGCGATGAAGGAGACACGATCGCTGGGACAAGAGCTTTATTAGCCTGACGTTTCGGATTCTCACTCGAATCCATCATCAGAGTCTGGGTCTGCGGACGCGAACGTTACACTGTTATACCATTGGAGTCAGTAGTGCTCAACTCGCCCGTTTACGGAAGAATCCGGCTACTATAGTTCGGTTGACTTCAGTCCCTTAATTTGCTTTCGGCAACAGTTTGAAGCGCTGAAGATTAAGTTCTCTGCTTCGATGTGTTTGGTATATACTCTAGTCCAGTTAGACCTGGCCCCCCTTTATCGATTGCCCGCAAACCTATCCATCCTTAAGTAGGTTCGGTGCACCGCGTTGCGTTTCGGAAACTTGTCTGTTATGTGGTTTTATTCCAGAGTATAAATGTGTGGACGTAGGCAATTTATTGATTCTACGGGACGGGATATCGCTCTCATCGGCACCAATTGCCCTAGTTAAGCACGCACGGACCAGGTACATCTGTCTGCCCGTGGCCGACTCTGCAGCAGTTACGTAGGGCGAAATGCCAGTGAGTAGTTAACTGCCGCCCCTAACCCTTAGGACGGATGTCTCCATCCACCTCTTCGGCGCACAAACTGTTTTTCCAGATGGTGGATGGGGTCTCATCGTATGTCGGGCGATATTCGCCATGTCGCTATGCCATTATTGCCTATGGCATTCTAGTGGGTAATAGATTCATCAGATCGGCACCCAACTAGCATTCACTAGAGGTCGTTTAACCATTCGCCATCTGTGGACATGCCGGGTAGTCTGCAGTTTGGCAAATGGACAGAGCCTTCCTTCTGACGTCTTTTCCGTTCACAGTGGGTACTTTTGGGAACAAAAACACGGACTTTCGACGTGCTACATGAAAGAAAGTGCATTAACTTGGTATTCTTCGTTCGAACAGCTCAGACTGATCTGGATGCATCGAGCGGACTCTCCTGCTCCGCGTGGGGCTGCGGCAAGGTAGGGACACCGACACCATCAAAATCGTGTCCAGCTCTGGCACTGTATCGTTCTCTCACCCACTCTGCCTTCAGTCTCCTCCATGTACAACTTGGGATTAGTACTGTGGTTTTCGAAACTACCTCTCGCCAACAATTTGGTGCTCACTTCGGCTTAGATCTGCTATGTTTGCTCTAGCATTCAGGCGGGCTTTTTAAGATCGTCTCGGTCTGTGAATGTTCAAGTCATGGGATCAGCAAGACCTACCAGAGTGAAAGCTCCTGGTTGGTTGATGACTTCTCCTGAACTTTCTCAATGGCGTGAGCGTAACTGAGCTTGGTGTTGCCATCCCGCAATATTGCCTTTAGTCCCTTGACTGAGGATAGGGTAATAAATTTTCGAGTCCAAACAGTCCGGCGGAGCCTGTTAAAAAAGAGGGAGGGTTTGTACTTGTTCTATAAACCGCGATAGGAACAGCAGTAATGCCATTCAAAATGTCATCCTCTTATAAAACGGTCTCCTCTAGTCACACCGCACCTTACTCGGCCACTTCATAGCGTTTCTAGAGCAAAAGCCCGTCCACTGTAGAACCGGGGAAGACGTACTCTGACCCTGCTCCGGGCGCGTGCTGCATCACTCCGCGTCTCGCGGGTACCAGTGACGATCTGGCTCTGGGCTAATAAAGCGCAAGATCGACTCAGACGCGTCCTGACGCCGAGCCTTCTTTCAATCTGTACCGGACCTAAAGGCGCTATCGGCAAGGGTTCGCCTATGACTTGAGCTGTCGCGACAGGCGGGTTCTCCGTTAGCCCAGCTGTTGACTGCGCGGCGCGTCCACAGGTAGTGAACAGTCGAACGGCCTGATGAATAAGCAGTCGCTACCTGAGCGCGGAGGGCCGATATTTGACACACCGACTGTCTTAGGACACACCGAAAAGCCAGATGATGGTGCTGTGGCATGGCGATTGGGGGGACTACCATTAAATAAGTTTGTTTGCCATTGCTGACTTGCCGCTAGGTTCTTGAGCTAGTGCGCTAGAGGAAACAATCTCTACTAAGCAATCTGAGTGACTTTTGAGGACCAGACTGTGTTCAAACTTCCCAATAAACTTCGTGAAAGTTTCCGCGGTATCGTCGAGGCTGGCTGGATCAGGCATGGTCATGGTGATGTCATGCACAACAAATAGCAGGAACGAGAAAGCTTCCTTGTTCATTATGCATATGTGCGCTTCCGTTCCTTGACAAACCATCGACCGTTGGATATTATTCGCAGTTGTCGGTGGAATGCAGTCACGTGTGGATGAGCGATAACTTGAGCTTGTACAAGTGACATTGGCTTATCCTCAACAAAATAAGGTAGGTCAGCTTGCAACAACAACCCTTGCCTTCCCTCCAATGAAACCCCATAATAAAACTGCAGTTCAGATAAGAATTACATCACGACAATCTCCAAAGGCAAAAATGGTTCTCAAGGGGGTAATTCTCTTGTAGCGGGCAGCCGTCATGACCGGTCGGGCGTCATTTTTCGAGACCTCACTGCCTCAAGGTCGTGACCAAGTGGTGTGAGTGCGTATGACTGTACCCAGAGCGCTACTATCGTCAGGCCAAATGCCATGTTTGAAGGAGAAGACAGAAGGCACCAGAAGGAGGGGTTTATTGTGCACAGAAACCGGAGTTGTCCTCTCAGGCGGCAGTGGCCACGGGCGAGGCCAGGGCTGGTGTTGACTGCGTCCAGTCATGCCTGAGAGTCCCTGGGACAGTGGTGGCAGCCATTTTTGTAGGCTCGTGGGCCAAGCTCAAGTGGTCTCCCATCGGTGTGTGTTGC